TTTGTTTAAGCATATTAAAAAAAAACCCCAGACGGCAACGTCTCCAGGACATCGCTTTCTTGCAAGTACAGTTGTACTTTCAGGCTGCGCTGGCTGCAGAATGGACTCATGTCTCCAGAGATGGAAATCTTCACTGGGTCTGACTCCAGCTCTTCTCAAAAATCACAAGCAAAGCCATTGCAAAACAACAACTGCAACCCGAAAGGTGCCACCTGGCCAACTTACCCATCTTCTTTTGAAGCTTTATTTTGGTCAGGATGAGAATAGCGATAGTGATGACGATCAGTAAAATGAGAGCTGGCAACACAACTGGGAGCAGGCGCGAGTCACCTGATGAGCTGGAAAGATGAACCATCAGAATTAAACTGGATTTTGAATCAGCTACGGGGTGGCTAAAGCACCTTAATTCAGGCTGTTGTTTTTACACCAAATAATATAATGGACTTATATAAAGCTGTCTAAATCAAAGGAGAACAGTCAACAAAGTCAGGTAGAGATTAAATAATTTGATCTGAATCTTGGCTTATGAGGAAGTGATTTCTATGGCTACCTCTGCTGTACCTTGTGGGGCTTATGCTCCCAGCTGACTGAGCCCCTCCAAAAGAAAAACGAGCCATTTTCACCATTCAGATTCACAAGCATTCGCTGTGGGTTGTGGTAGACTCTCGTGCTGTTGGAGAGCGCCTGTGTGCTGTCTCCTTGCAAAAATTATCTAAATGCTCTCAGAGCTCCGCAAGCAGACAGAGCTTTGCCAGGAGCAGCGCAAACTGACCCTTTATACAAGAGCACAACTTGTAACGTGCTCTCCCCTCCTCTTTCGGGCTGGATGGCAGGAAGACGTGGCTTGAGGGAGGCTGGGGATGGAGACGATGGTGTTTCTGGTGCTGGGTGTCCCTGGGGCAGATGCAAGCTCTGAGGTGCATAGAGGGACAGCTCAGGATATTAATCTGGATTTGTGGACTTCGTGGTTTATCTTCAGTTCTGACTGATACTGCAATATCTGGTGAGCCTGCACCAACCATGCAAATCTCTTCGCTCAGCGCTGGATGGTGGCCATAGCTGGGGTGCAAGGGGTAAGAGCTGCTCACGGCCGTCCTGCATGGCAGGAAGCACAGATGGTAAATTTACCAGGAATACCACTGGCACTGGGGTGAGCCGCAAGGCTTTCTGCAGACAAGACGAGGAATAATCACTGGGCAAAATAGCTCACAGCCTTTTGATTAACCTTGTCCAAAGATCGCTCCTTACACGGCACAGAGCACCCGAACACTGGCTGCCTGTAGGGCTCGGATAATGTGTGCAGGGAAGTGTGCGGCAGCTACTGATTCACCAGCGTTATTGCTCAAGCCTAGTGTTTCCTAATGTCCTGTCTCCATATGGAGCAAGGAAAACAGACAGGAGCACGTCTATTGACTCTGGCGTCTGATCTACAGGAGTGGCCAGCACCAGAAGGTTGAGAGACAAGTTCAGAGATAGGTGCCACAGATAGACATGAGGTAACCTTGCCTTCTGCTTCCCGAATTACTAGTGTCTCCTACTGGTGTCTTCAACTCGCAACCTGTGCACAGTCTGTGCAGGGCCTTGGGAAATGGGGCAGGCAGGTCGTAAATCACCGAGTTAGTGCCAATGAGAAACGTGGCCGTGAACTTACCTCTCGTGATAGATTCCACTCGGGGAGGTTACAAAGGTGCCGGGGCGGGCAGTGGGCAGCAGGGTGCTGGTGGTCTCGGTGGCAGTGCCCGTCGTGCACATCAGGGCCGTGGAGCTCCTCTGCGTGGGTGGGCTGGAGGCGGCTGGACTTGATGAAGTGAGTTTCACAAGAGTGGACGTTTCTGGGTTTTGTGAAGACCAGACTTCTACAGAGAAAATTATTTTGAGGCTTGAGTGCCCATCTTTTTGCAGAGGCAGTGTGCTAGATTTACCAAAGATTTATGCATTTCACCTTGCATCTCGGCATGAAAAAATATGCAGCACGATATGACCAAGCCCAGGTATTTCTATTTTCCTTTGAGTCTTATAGACAGCAGCTTGGGAGTACTAACGAAAACCCATTAGTACTTGGCAACCATTCATACTTTAACCCCACTGTTTCTGTCTTTGCCAGCTGAACAGTCGCACAGATCTGTGTATTTACATGAGGCAGTTTCTAAAATGGCAAGATAGGCTTCAGCTTATCTTCTGAACAAAGTACGTCTCTGTGCTGCACTTGCTAGGATCAGGACGTCATATGCTAGGGGTTCGCACCATAAATAATCAATAATATAATTCAAACAAACCAAATTTCCTCTGAAAGCCCAGCTTACAGCCCTGCCTCTGAAAACCTTTGCCATCACCTCTGTTTTACTTGCCCATAAATGTAAGGCAAAATGTATAGCTGGTGTTTCTCATAATGTTATATTTATGCATAGTACAAAGGAGAGTTTAAGGTCCTCATGCCCATGAAGGGGTAGAGGAAGGATTGATTTAGAAAAAGAAAAGGCATTGATTGTGTTCCGAGCCATCCCACCACCTACCCTTCTGGATGAGCAGCTTCACAGAGGATGTGTGCTCTGTGTGCCCGTTTTTAGCCCCGCACCAGTACCATCCTGCATCCTCCTCTCTCAGGTGGCTCATCACCACTGTGTAAGTCCCATTTTCCTGGTCGGTGCTGGCTATTTGTATTCGCCCTTTGTAGGACTCGTGCACAAACCCATCGGCATCCACGAGCAGCGAGCATCTGGCTTCTTCCCACCTGCACAAATACTTCTTCTCATAGTTGCCCTTGGGATCATAGTGGCACTTCACAGACAGCGAGCCTCCGACTGTGCCGCTGAGAAATTTTGGTCTCTTGGGAAGGGTGGAGGCTGCAGGTTGGAGAGGACTGCGTTAGCATTTCGTGCTCCTCATCTGGGGCTGCAAGGGCCCACGCAGCACGTGCAGGCCCCCGTGCCTCGACCTACCTGTGGTCACCCGCAGAGCCACCATCCATGGGCTGTCCTGGCCACTGAGCCTTCCTGTCCCACACCTATACAGCCCCGAGTCTTCCTTTTTTAAGTCATTTATCAAGATTTTGAAAGCTCCAGAGCTCTCCTGAGGGGTGATAAAGAT